CTCATTGGAAGGCACATTTCTCTCATTGCAAGCAACATTTCGCTCATTGCAAGGTGCATTTCTCTCACTGCAAGGCGCATTTCTCTCACTGCAAGGTGCATTTCTCTCACTGCAAGGCACATTTCTCTCACTGCAAGGCACATTTCTCTCATTGCAAGGCACATTTCTCTCATTGCAAGGCACATTTCTCTCATTGCAAGGCACATTTCTCTCATTGCTAGGCACATTTCTCTCATTCCAAGGCACATTTCCCTCCCATTGCAAGGCACATTTCTCTCCCATTGCAAGGCACATTTCTCTCCCATTGCAAGGCACATTTCTCTCCCATTGCAAGGCACATTTCTCTCCCATTGCAAGGCACATTTCTCTCCCATTGCAAGTCACATTTCTCTCCCATTGCAAGGCACATTTCTCTCATTGCAAGGCACATTTCATTGCAAGGCACATTTCTCTCATTGCAAGGCACATTTCTCTCATTGCAAGGCACATTTCTCTCATTGCAAGGCACATTTCTCTCATTGCAAGGCACATTTCATTGCAAGGCACATTTCTCTCATTGCAAGGCACATTTCTCTCATTGCAAGGCACATTTCTCTCATTGCTAAGGCACATTTCTCATTGCAAGGCACATTTCTCTCATTGCAAGGCACATTTCTCATTGCAAGGCACATTTCTCATTGCAAGGCACATTTCTCTCATTGCAAGGCACATTTCATTGCAAGGCACATTTCTCTCATTGCAAGGCACATTTCATTGCAAGGCACATTTCTCTCATTGCAAGGCACATTTCTCTCATTGCAAGGCACATTTCTCTCATTGCTAAGGCACATTTCTCTCATTGCAAGGCACATTTCTCTCATTGCAAGGCACATTTCTCTCATTGCAAGACACATTTCTCTCATTGCAAGGCACATTTCTCATTGCAAGGCACATTTCTCTCATTGCAATGCACATTTCTCTCATTGCAAGGCACATTTTTCTCATTGCAAGGCACATTTCTCTCATTGCTAAGGCACATTTCTCTCATTGCTAAGGCACATTTCTCTCATTGCTAAGGCACAATTCTCTCATTGCTAAGGCACATTTCTCTCATTGCTAAGGCACAATTCTCTCATTGCAAGGCACATTTCTCTCATTGCAAGGCACATTTCTCTCATTGCAAGCAATATTTCTCTCATTGCAAGTTTCATATGTATTTATACCATACTACTGAGGTCCAGTAAGTTAGGCTCATGAAATAGTGAAAAACGGATGGATTGAAAGAACTGAAATTCTACAAATTTAAGTAAAGTTGAACTTGATGATAGTAAAATGAGAAAGTGGTATGATAACTGTTCAGGTGCATAGGAAGTTAAACCCAAACTGAATATTTCGTTCACTGCGAGATCCTGTGTTGTGCGTGAAATCGAAAAACAAGACAAACCAAGGTTAGGTGACGTCAAAAGATCATGCAGGATTCGACAAAATCTAAACTATTTTTTTGTCAATAATGTGCTATACAAACTTGTTGATGGTCTATTTTGATGAAGTATGGGAATCTTAATGCAATGTTCCTCCCTGAAAGATTGGCATTTCAACATTGAGCTTATAAAAAAAAATGAAGTTCAAAATCGTTTGATCAGCGCCTTTCACGCAATATGGTTGATTTTGCAGTGAATAGATAATATTAACAAACCAGAAAGCATTCTCTCATTTGGTTTGTTCGTAAGTAATCATGTAAACGTTATCAGTGAAAAAACAAATGCTGTCATTAGGAAGAATATAACACATCGCCTGTTGAATGCCTCAGTGAATAGCCAAAATGAATGGGAAAATTTTGTTGGCATATGTTGTGTTAAATAAAACATTAAACGTCTCAAGAGAACCTTGGTATATGGTGAACATTCAAGCACTATTCTTGGACTATTCACAGAATGAAAATAACATGCACTGATCTGACACTTCACTAATTTTTTATGTGTGACAATTTGTCAGCCTTCCGGCAGTTTCTGCTTTTGTTCAAATATTTGGCATGCCCCTGGAAAGTAGGTACAATTTGCAACTGTGATAAACTTCTCCAGAGTGGAGTTCTTTTGAAAACTCTTGCTTGTATGATGGCCAATAAATTTTAATTGATGTCAGTGCATGGTTGCGAGTTGCTTATGTTTTCTTTTTATAATTTTTAACTAGTATGTATTTTGTAATTTATTACGGTACATGTACATCTTATTCGTTTCATTCTGGGGACTTGCGGATAGACCTTGCCTGCATCTGCCTGTCCAGCCATTGCTCACAAATACTCGACCCGACCCGATCAAGTTAAAATTTTACGCATACATCATGCACTACATAGTATGATGGACAATCTAAGGCAAAACATTTTTCAAATTATGCATCTTGGACGTACCTGGACCAATCGCATTTAAACTTGAACATATCAGACAAACCCATGCCTGCCATCTTGTTTAAATGATTGAATTGTTTCCATGGAGCCATATCAGCAAATAAATTTGAAGAAAATATATTAAAAATGAGTAAACTTGTATTGAAAAAGCCAGAACGAGGATCAGATTGATCTGCTGGAGGAGCCCCCATTTAATTTGTTAAATTTATGATTTTCATTTTCTCCACCTTCAAAATTATGAATATTAACTGTCCTGCGTGGATTGCAACCTTGCCATTATTCCGTAATCCTCGCACAGAGGGCGTTTTTGAAACGCCTGTTTTAAATTATGGACTACAGAGGGCGTATATGAATAAATTTATTCCATAGATTCACTAGATCCACTAGATCTAGAGTGCCAAAAGGGGGAATTGCTAGTACATATTTCGAAGAAGTATAATTGTAAGTTGTTGAATTGGTTTACTTGAAAGAATGTAAAGTCTCGTTCTCACCGGAAGCGAGGAAATCTTCGATGAACTATGAACTTCCTCGTTTCACTGGGATATCGTCGTACCCTACTCGCTCTGCTCATGTCTTGTGGACAGTAGACCAACATGCTATCCGAAAAGGAGAAGGAAGGTTTCCAACAAATGCTGTCCCAGTTGTCTGGGGATGAACTCTTATCTTTGAAAGACACTGTTACAAGGACAATGGTGACGGCACAAAGCAAGACAGGTAAGGCGTGTATTATTTCACAGTCCCTCTATCGTGATAGTCTGTTAGAGGGACTG